TTTATTCAGAACCATATCATCCAAAGATAATTTAATTAAATAATGCAGCCAGACCTGTAAAATGTTTTTTTCTAAGGACTAATCGATTGTATCGAGTTATGCAAGTAATGATGGATGAACTTTTAGTAAGGATATTAACTTGCATTGTGTGGTTGACTCTACAGCAATCCTTCACATTGCGCAGGATTGGAGCAATAGTGGTGAGGAAAACCATCCTTTTAATAGGAAGAATCAGCAAGCAGAAATGCTGATATAGCTTGAAACAGCAGTGGTATGGTTTAACCGTACAAGCGCTAATTTTTAAATATTATTTTGTGAAGATCAAATATTTCTTTAAAAACAAAATATAACCCAACCCGTCGTTAAAAAGCGACGTTCACACCTAAAGAACTTTGGGCACCTGAAGCAGTCACTTTACATGCAAAGTGAATGGTTGACGGGCATCAAGGTGTACCAAAAGGTCCTGCTGCACACCTAGTAGCGTGAAACGTTTCACAAGCAGCAGCCGGAGTTGGAATAATTGAAGTTTTTCTGCTCAACGCTCCACATCAACCAATCGGAAAAGATGATCTGGGAGCTGGCAGGGAGACAGACACAGCACTGCTGATGCAGAGCGCTATGATCACTCCTCTGAAACAGTTTATTAACCCATAAATTAACTTAAAATGTGGAAACCTGCTGGCAAAATATGTTTGATTTTATTATCCTGGTGCCTGCAGTTTGTCCCACATACCTGAAAAACGCTAACATCTACTTTCAACCGCCACCAAAAAAAAAAAAAACCCCAAGAGGCATTCAGGCCTGAGGCAGCTGCTGCTGGGGATTCCCAGTGACAGCGCACCGCCGGTATGTGGGGGTCTGAGCGGCTCCCTCAGAGAGATAATCTTTAAAGGCAGGATGGATGAACTGACTGCACTGATCATATTTTCAGGAGGACTTTCTCACTTAAAAACATATAAAAACTACTTTTTACCCACTGATCACAGCAAATATAGCAAATCCGCTCTCTGCCATTAAACACAGGAACAGTAGAAACATCAGACACATCTGGACACGCTTTACTGGACGCACTTCAGGAGCAACAAAGATGCTCTTGAGGCACGTCTGACCTTAATGTGTACAAGCATCAAAAATTAAGCAGCAGGCACTTTTTTGCAGCTGAAATATAAACATTAATCAGCTTTTGTAAGCGGCCTTATTGCAAGAAAAGAATTTGGCACAAGGAATTAATGAATAATTCAGATTCTGAAGTGGAACTCTAATACAGACTGAACATTATGCCTCTGTTGAAAGATGAGGAGTTATTTACCTTTTGCGGCTGAAGACTGAGCGAAGAAACACTGCTTTTCATGGTACTGAAACTGGAAAGAGCCAGAGCTGTTGATGGAATGGTAAAAAGAAAAAGTAGCAGACTTTTATTCCCTCAATACATATTAATTATTATTCAATAAAAAAAGGATTCTAACAGGTTAAGTTCTCAATTTCATCAAAATAATTTTTTCAGAATCCACGTCTTACTTCCTAATCTTAAGCTATTTCTTTCTACTTCTTTTTTTTGAAACTGCATTAAAACTGAGCTAAAACTCTTTATACATGTACCATAGGAAAAAAATGATTGATGACACCTTACGTCAAAAAATATGTATTTCCCTGTCAGGGTTGTTGGATATTGTTGTGGACCCAAATGCAGAGTGAAGAGGGAGAAAATTATTTGCAGATTTAATGAAGATACTGATAGTAAATGAGTAAATAATCCAGAAATATTTAGAAACAACAGGCAAGGAACTCCAGAATGATAAAACTAGGAGACTCTCAGAGAATCTAAAATAAGGAATAAAGTAATAAAGAGAATTCTGCAATGAGGAACTGCACAAAAAAATGGGCTCATCAGCTGATAGGGAGCAGGTGCGGATAGTGAGCCAGGGGAGAGGAGACTTGCACGAGGGGGGAAAAAAAATGTACTCAAAAAAAAAAAACACTGCTTAAATATGACCAGAAAACAGCTAGAATGACTGTGCCAGAGGAGCTGTCATCAGCCAGGACTTTGTTATAAGTCCATGTCAGCATGAGCACACGCATACACAAACACATACATAATCCCTAGCAAACTTTTTGTTGCAGCTCGGGCTGGCGCGGTTCTCAGCTTTGAATATTTTCCCGGTTCTATTTTCAAGGAGGGTTGTTTCCAGATTGTGGCTCGCCAGAAGAGAGTCACATGATGACTGTTTGAGTGTTTTCTATTAAATTGAGTATTGTATTTTGATTACAAGTTTAATTTAATTTCTCTCATTAGTGTTGTTGTTATTACTATTATTATTCTGTAAACTTTCAGAGTTTATCTGAGTTAGAAATAATTTCTTAGAGTGTCTGTGGACGGAGCCTGCAGCTTTAAAAGCAGGGTTGCTCCACAGGGAGTCCGTCTGTGCTGGACTCCTGAGAAGTCACACTGAAGGTGATGGACTCTGCTGTTTCTCTGATTTCAACCTGCTCTGGAGTTAATTTGTATATATTCTGCACCTGCCATCTTTGTTCACCTGAAGAAAAGCTCAATAAATTTCACTAAAGTGATCTACGGCCTTGGCCAGTCATTTATATTTGACCAAATCATGATAGAACCCATCACAATGACACAGAATGGAAAAGAAACCCTTAACTAAGAGGGATGCAGAAGGACATACCGGTAAATCAAATCATAACTATAAAATTAAAAAAAAAGAAACTTAAACAGAACCAAAAATGTCCAGAAAGGGCAGAATCACGACAGACCCTCAAAAAGAGTTATCCTTCCTCAGGACCATCTGTCCAGAAGAGGGTTTCATTTTTGTCACTGATAGGTAAATTAAATCTCATACCTACCAACTCACAATACA